ATGCCGCCCAAATGTTCACGCAAAGAAAGAAGGCCTAACTTTTATTCTCGCTGTAGTTTTGTTGTTTCCGCCGCCATGTCGTAAAGACGCTGTGTGCTTTGTTGTTAAAGCGAAACTGAAATACACAAAATACTGTTCTTTTTAGCAGCATCATATGACCCCTTTAACTGTTTTCTGTCCTTACACATCATTAGATGCATGAGACATAAGGCAGTGGAATGAAGAAAAGTGTTTTTGACGGCATGTTATGCACCAGACATTGCAAAAGACGTCAGACACAAGCACAACAGCATGTTTACCTAGAAAAAGAATTGAAAAGCAGCACATGTGGAATTCAGAATGCATTTTGTTTGAACGCCACCTTAGTCTGTTTGTGGGTGATATAAAACCAACATATTACAGTTAGAATTTCAGTTATTATCATGTCAGTTCTATTCAAACTATTACTGTCGTATGCATTTGTGAGCTTATAAACAGGGCACATGGCTTGTTTCCATAGAGAGCCCAGCATTGATTCCAGCGGCTGTCAGATGATCTGTTGCATATTTCTATTTTTAGCAATAATAATTACCTTTGTGATTACATTACAAATCAAGGTTCAATTTGAATTCGTTCCATACACGAAACAAGTCTATTTGAAAATGAAAACTGAAGGGGAGAGAGACGCTCATTATCTCAGTCTCTGAAATTGGCTAATAAGAAATTAGTGCATGAAGCCGACAGTTTCCAACTGATTCACTCTGGAGCTATTCACCTACTGGGAAAGACAAAGTTGAGAAAAAAATTGCACAGTCTTTTCCTTTGGAAGGATGTGACAAGATAGAAATCAGTGACAGGAAATGATCTAAACGGTCTTCAGTATTCAGAAATGATCACCCAAACTTGGAATAAATAAAGAAGAACTGTATCTGTGAAGTTGAAAATATGCAAACACTAATTATGTATTATGATAATTACATGAACATTGTTTTAGAAATACTAGTCATGAGACAGTCAAAAATCAAATATAATAAAAAAAAGAAAGACAAAACGATTTAAAGGCATAATTCAAAAATAACCCAAAAAGAACAAATTAAACCCATTTTTTTTCTTCTGTGGAAAAACATTTGAAAAAAAATGTTGGCTCAACACTCACTCTTTTTTAGTTATAACAACTTCTAATAAAGTTACGTTCAACCAACAACCTAAATTGTGTTAGAGGAAATCAATTATTTGTAGCATAAACACAAATTTTTACGTTTATTACAAAAAAAATTAAGCTGCTCCAAATATTTAAGGTGGTCCCAGAACCAATTATTCTTGAGTATTTCAGTTTAAATAAACAGCTAATAACACATGCTAAATGCAATGTATTTAGTATGTAAATTTAATGAACAAGTAAGATATTACCTGTCACTGGCATTAGCGGATTGCAGTGTAGCCTCCAACAACCTAACCACAAGCACTACTGCATAGTGGTAACCACAAAAACTTCAACATAACAGGAACACTTTTACATGTAAAACATAACAGCATTAAACACTTACAGGTCTTTACCTTCACTAATAAAACATATAAAAATAACACTATCCAGTCCTATGCAAAGCATGTTGGGAACTAGAAATCCACTGTCCAATTTCCAAAGTTAACAAGACCATTTTATTAAGTTACTATAACTTAATTTTTTAAGAAAATGAACTGACACAGAAATCTGAGTTTACATTACACACAATATTATGCTGACGTAATTATCAACATTATGTTAACTGAACTCATCAAAATAATGTTTGCAAATTAAAAGGTTTAATTAAATCATTAAATTAGAATTTTCAACTCACAACCATGCATTTATTTAAGTTGTGTTAACAGGTCCCCAAAATGATTTTTTAAGCAATGAAAGTGGAGAAAGTGGACCCCTTTGACTTTCACTTTATGTTAAAAACAGTCTTTCAAAATATCTACATTTGTGCTCCAAGAAAAAAGAAAGTCAGGGATGACACGAAATAAAAATAAATGTGGGTTCTGTCCTAATCCTGCTCCTTTGACGGGCTCCAGTATATCCAGCACAGCAGTCAGGAACTATTTTGATCAATGCCCATCTTACACATGGAAGTCTTATTGACATTTAGGGAATGCACATGCTTGCCATTCCTGACTTGCGAATCTGTTAGTTCTAGGCTTTCCCTTCCACATCTGTCACTGCTTACCAAAAGATACAAATTAATAAAAAGCAGGATACGCAACACCTTTCATGTTTCCATTTCATAAGAACCTCTCAGATCACGTTTATTTAAATGGATTAGTTTTTTAATACTGAAAATGCTAAATGTTTCGTACTCAACCGACACCTTTACATCATCTTCACCTCTGCGTGTCTGCTATTACGCATATGAAGTGAATGAATTCTCACGGCTTCTGTTTGTGGGTGAGCATTCCACATTTGTTCTCAATGCTGAGTATCTGTGGTGGGCTGAGTGGGACATATTTCAGCTCCGTGTCAGGGGGGTCCTCCGTTTACTCGCACCCACAACCGCTCAGCTGTTTCTGCACGTTACTCCGGGTTACTCCGGCTGGCTGACCGGACATGTGCCGTTCTCCTGTTGCTCAAAGACTCAGCATGTTTCATCACGACAGCCTGCCTGTCCCGGTACCCATGCGGATTACGCTGGGACCCCCGTCTGGAATTTTTCCCATCACTATACAGTGACGATAAACTTCCTTTGGGAACACAAGATGCTGTTTACAACATACTTTTCTGATGTGGTACCTTCCAGCTCAAATGAACCAAAGTACGTGCGGAAGGGCAACGTGTCTTTGTCCGCAACAGCCCTGGGTGAAGAACACAGAGAACGGCTATCTTTTCCGTGCAGATTTCTCTCTGTCGCTTACTGAACACATCAAAAATGTCAGCTTGTAACTGATGGATATGCCCAGAAGGTCCAGCATGCTTTTCATGAACCCCCAGAAAGTAATTTGCTGGGAAGCAGCGGGTGGAAGAGAAAGCACACTCAGCCTTCTAGGGACAAGCTATCACTTTCACTGTTTTTCACTATTTAAGCTGTATTTAATCACATCTGAAGTACTAACCTCATGAACAGACAATTATCAGCATTTTCATAGGCGACACAATGGTGAATATGTTTTACTGTTTCACGACACCACGTTTCTCCAAAGTCTGAAGCGTTCGCTGTGGACTAAAATGGAAGTCTACCACTCGTCCAAGCATTCATCTAAAATATGGGGTGTGATCTCAACCTTTGTACTATTCCTGAATCTATTTTATCCTATCCAGTAAAGCATATCTTGGCACCAAAAATGCTGGCAAAAGACACCGGAGAGTTTCCACTGTACAAATACACTCCAGAGACTAGACACAGGCTTTTAAGCATATAAGGTATAACAAAGCACAGAGAAACTGCTTTTGGCATAGACTTTCGATTGTTCTGTTGATGAGGTGACTTACATTGTAAATGTAATTTTAATCCAAATTAAACTACACCGACTAACAAATTCTACAGAACTCGTAGAGTTATGTTTAAAATTGCTTAAAATTACACTCCACATTAGTTGCAATGTATTTAAATACTAAAAAACAACGCATGTTTTAAAAAATTTAACATGGCCACTGTAATGAAAAGTGTTACATTTTTAAACTACAGTCAAATATATATTTAAATGACTACTGAATTTGCTAAATCTAATTGTAAAACTAACTTTAAACACTGTTCTCCTTCTCAAAAACATAAATGAATTAAATAAACGAAGGGACAAAAAGAAATTGAGAATAAGAAAGATGGTACATTTTAGAGTAGCCTATGTATACAACACAACACAGACTTACCAGCAGTATAGTGCTTAGTCTATAATTAAGCCAATCAGCACACTTGAATAATCACAGGAGATGTGCAGTTTCTACAAGAGCCTACATGACTCCTTACAACCACAACCTTTAAAAAGGTCATTTAAATCAAACAAAAGTAATAGAGATAAACAGAAAATAAAAAGCACATGACCTGAATAACTGAAAGAGTTTATACTGGCTTCAAAATCGAATTCAACAAACTGTCGATATTAATTATTTAGGCCACAACATCGAAGCTACTGATTATTTTCAGGCCACAGAAAGAAAAGAAACCTCATCTTCTGACTGAATTTAATTAAGCTATTGGTCTAGACGGAGTCTGAAGCCTCTGATTAAATTACATCCGACTCTTCAAACGATCCAGGACAAAAATATGCCATCTTTTTAATTATTTCCCCGAGCCCTAAATTTAAGACCGAAGTATTGTGCAGGCTGAAGGCAATATGCTGTTCAAAGCCCGCCGACTGATCCCCTCTCGTGAATACTTTAGGCAGAAAACCGTTATCTCGCAATAAACATGTCCCGCTTCCACTCAAACAGTTTCTAATAGTTAAAAAAAACACCCAAAACTAACGAAAACGTGACCATTTTGAAAAAGCAAAATGGAGAAAACAACAACATCAAAACACTACTCAGTCCTCATTTGTTTATGCCATTTCAAAAACTTTTAAAGCGTGAACAAAGAACTGAGCCGAATGGTCCAGTGAATCAAAACAGCACGAAGCGAGTTTTATGGGATTATAAAGGCTGAGCTTTAAAAGCAAATCTAATATTCCCGTAAACAACCCATGTAACCTGTAGAATAAGGGAATTATAGAGGCGTGCGGATTTTGTTATGGTTAACGTTAGTTGGACAAACACGCAGAGCGGGATGCGAGTTTCAGCCGGCGATGAGAAACAGTCCAGCGAGAGAAAACTAAAACCTCAAGCTCATGCCGCGAAACACGGCATATCCACACGAAAATGTTACTTTTATCCCACTTTGGATTCAACAGCCACATCTAACATCTCATCTAAAAGAGCTAACGGGTTAGCGCAATAGTTTAGTTGGCTTGAAGAGACGAGCATTTCAAGAACTTCGATAAATGATTCACCGCTATTTGTATCACTTTTGCCTCTTCTACAAAGAAAGTATAATAGTGTGGGTATGCGTACTCACATTGCATGGAAAGGAGAAGCAGAACGCAAGCCAGTGGTGTTAACGCCATCTTGGAGTCGATGAAATGTTCGGTTTAGCTGTACATGCGCAAAGTAAAGGGCTTTAGGAGAGGATGGAGAGGGCTCGCGCTCACCGACCGGAGAGAGAGAGAGAGAGAGAGAGAGAGAGAGAGAGAGAGAGAATACACTCCCTTATACAGCGAGGACACAGTCCTCAACTGAACAACGCTCCGCCGGCATGACCTTAACGCTATGCTGGCGCATTAAACTTTCCAAATTTGTGTGCTGAGACGCCGCCATAGCGATCAGTGCAAACTGACCGATGATGCTCCTCACAAGCACCCACAACCTTTTTCCTATTTACTTAACAACAAAGCCACGAAAGATAGGAAAAAAGATAGAAAACTCACTCGCACCATGGAACTCACTCCAACTCATGCACGCCAACTCCGCCCACTCACTCCACAAGCACACACAGAGAGAGATAGAGAGAGAGAGAGAGAGAGAGAGAGAGAGAGAGGTCGACCTATTGTGTTGAGTTTCCATGACTACAAACAGCTGAATATTCTGGATTTTTTTAGGAATTGGCCACTGAAGTTGCTCCAGTTCCTTTACTGGAACATCATGTTTTTATAGTTATGTTTACAAATTAGTTATATGATCATTCATTACCGCCCAGAATTTCACAAATGACAGATCTATGCGTGGACGGATTATGCACGTTTCTACAAACTTTTAAACTTTATATCACACTATTTGAAATGACTTTCCACATTTCCCGTCTAATTTCTCATTATTTTATTATATTTCACAAATGACCAAGAGGGAAACACGGGTCAAAAAATATATATTCAAATATAGAGCTATCCACCCTTATGAAAAAAAAGAAGTGTGCTTGAATGTGCACTTGCAGTCTAGCCTACTTCAAATCGTAAAAGTATATAAAAAATTATAATGTAATATTAATGAAATAAAAGGCCATTTGATTGTCCTTAAAGAGACTATACTTTCATGACTTTGTTTCTTAATACATTTAAATTTACTGTTTAAAAATGAACTTTGTAATACTTTCAAATTAAATGATTTACTTTTAAAGTAGCCTACATTTCATTCATTATGTTTTAATAATCTTTTGTCGTGCTTTAAAGTACACTAATTGAATTTGTCAACTGACATATAAAGCACATATCAAGTACTTAATTATCATTTTGATTCCGGTGTGTAAATATAATTTAATTAGGCCTACATCTTTATCATTACAAATGTGTAATTACAAATATAGGCTATTTAAATAGATGGCATAGCCTACACGTTTCAACAAAATTGACATTAAAGTATATTGTAGTTTATCATATACTTTTCAGTATTCAGCGGTGCACTTTAATCATATATAAGACAGTAAGTGATTATGGAATTATATAGCCTATACTTAATTCCTATGCAAGTATGTCAAAAACACATTCTTAAGTTCAACTTAAATTCTAATACATTTTCATTTAAATGAACATGCATTTGTGTCTGAAAACATTCATTTCAGTTCTTAAAATGTATAACTTAAAAAATAAAACTCTTAAAATGTGTGCCAAAGTTTGCTTCTTTTTCACAAGGGCAGTCTAGTTCAGGGTTTTCCCTACAGTCTGTATTGTATTTAGCCATATAATGTGTTGGAAATCAAGTACAGTATTAGACTTTGAGAAGCACACATAATCTTAAAAGTAAATTTCAGGATTTCAATCTGCAGAAATACCACAGCATTAGAGTTAATAAGTGATGTTATCACAATCTGTTTATGTGAATTTGTCTGATGGCAAGGATAGAGTGTGTGTGTGTGTTTGTGTGGGACCATTTCAGCAAAAAATCATTCCAGTGTCTGATAACGGGAGATAAGTTCAAATCCTGAAGGCTTAGGGCACATTATGTTTTTTCCAATTCCAGACATTAGCGACAACATGGACATTTTAAAGCAAGAATCTCTGGCTTTGCCAACCACTCGCAGCACTTCGACACATACTAAGAGAAGTCCGTAATCAGTGCTCTGATTGTCTGTGGTTCAGTATGACACCGATGTGCTGGGAAGTGATTATAGTGGGGCTGAGGACGAAGAGATATCAAGGCAGTGTATTTATATCTTGATGTTCTATCTTTTATATGGAGGGTATACCAGTCAAGGCCACTCACATCCAATGTCACTCTTTTTTGACAAGAAATATAAATAAATAATACAAATAAATAAATAAAAAAGACATTTAAAATGACATTTACAGGATGGCCACAAGCTGAAAAAGGACACAGACTAAGTATCATATATATTGTATTAAATAGATATATTTGTTCACACAGATTCTCTACTTACTACTACTCCTTGTTGCAAGCTCCAAAAACTGAATTGTTTATTACATTTTTCCTAAAAAAAATAAATAAATAAAAAAGAAAAAAAGAAAATAAATAAATAAAAAAAAATTAAATTAAATTACATCAGTATATATATTAGTATATCAGCGCAGCACACGTCAGAGCTCCATTATAAGTCAACATAAATATTCAGCAAAAATAACCTGATTTAAAATGACATTATCCTACACGTTATTAGAAAATAGCCATATAAAAATAGCTTTTTAATACATCTTACTACACTGTAAAAATAAATATATAAATAAATAAATAAATACATGCATACATACTTAATCCTGTCATTGGGGAAAAAAAAAAAAAACCCTGGCAGCTGGTTGCCAGAATAATTAGGAAAAATACAGTAAAAATGCAAACATCTTTACAAAACAACCAGTAAATGTACAGTTTAATGATAACCTCCATAATAACATGTGGTAAAAAGAAATAATTACTAACGCTATCTCACAACCAAATTCGTACGACCTCACTTGAACAATTTTGTACGTTTTCTGTGAGGGGTAGGTTTAGGGGCAGGGTTAGAGGTGGTCATTTGTACGAATTTCTACAAATTAGCCACTTCGTAAAATACATACGAATTGCCGTGAGATCAGGTTGGAAATACATAGAAGGTGCAGTTTCAAATACAATGGTAATATATGTAACATTAAAATAACGCAATAAACATCATGCAATAACTTGCTGTTTTTATTTCCAAAATGTATTTTACTGTAAAATGACCTGAAATAAATGCAGAGAACTTTCTGTTAAATAATTCACGGGTTTTTACTGTAGCATTTCTAAAGTTTTTACAGTACATGTTAAACCTAGTATTAGCAATAAAAGCTGACTGGGAATAGAAATATAATTTTTCACCTTTCCCCCCTTTAGGCTTTTAATGCAATTTCCTTTTGTACCACAAACAAAGAAAATGAGCAGTGAAAGCTGTGTGTCAAGAGAGGAGAGGCAGATGGTGCTGTGTAAGGTGGACAGTGTGGTGAACTCAGGGGAAACGAATGAATTCCCCCTGGCTTTGCGTGGCTTGCGAGCATTCAGGCAGACATCCCGACATCTTCACACAATCACCGCAACCCCTGGCCGCTGAACACAGGAGAGCAGTTCTGTGTGTGAAGATGTACTTGATATTCTGGGAGGCAACAGAGGTTTGACCTGTCAAAAGAGTTTTGTGATTTTGCATGGACATTTCTGAGGAACCTCATGTGAATCTACATTGGAATCTTAATTAACTATGGTATTCTTCTTAAGAGCATTACTCATGGTTTACTGGAAAACCTCAGGCACCTGGCAGACTCATTAGTAGTCATGTCTGATAAAAAAGCCTGGTTAACTGTAGACCAGTATAAAAATGTAATTAATCAACATACATTCCACATTAGAATAAACACAAATTAAACATGAACAAGCAAAGACTTGGCTGCTTAATTTCTGATCACACTCAGATCACACAAATAATTTGTATTGGGTATTGTATTATATTGTATTGGCCTCCATTTCGGATTAAAAAATGCTTTACTTAAAGGGTTAGTTCACCCAAAAATGAAAATTCTGTCATTAATTACTCACCCTCATGTTGTTCGAAACCCGTAAGACCTTCGTTCATCTTCGGAACACAATTTAAAATATTTTGATCCGAAAGTGACAAGTGATCCACGACAGTATCATGACGCGAGCGTGTGGCGGTGCCGGCGCTGACCCAGATCCGGCGTAATGACGTCATTACGCCGGATCTGGGTCAGCGCCGGCACCGCCACACGCTCGCGTCATGATACTGTCGTGAACGCGCGTCCACAAGTGACGCAGTAGAGACGAAAATGTGTAATAAAGTCGTTATTTTTGTTTTCTTTGCGCAAAAAAATATTCTCGTAGCTTCGTAACTTTACAGTTGAACCACTGATGTCACACGGACTACTTTGTCGATCATCTTGGTACTTTTCTGGACCTTGAACGTGGTAGTTACCTTGCTGTCGATGGGAGGGGTCAGAGAGCCCTCAGATTTCATTTTCCAGTAAACCATGAGTAATGCCCTTAAGAATACCATAGTAAATTAAGATTCCAATGTAGTTTCACATGAGGTTCAACTCTTTTGACAGTTCAAACCTCTGAACAACACGAGGGTGAGTAATTAATGACAGAATTTTCATTTTTGGGTGAACTAACCCTTTAATAACACCAGATATTTTGTAAATACCAAGGTATCTGCAAACATGCCTGTCTGTACTTAGCTGTGCAGTTCCTCCTTTTCCTCTAACACCAGTCATGCAGAATTCCTTTGACTTCCCATGTTAACACACTTCCCGTCATGCACTTAAGTTAAACAATACTCCCCACTTCCCTATTGGCATCAATCACTGCTATTCCCTAACAACATATTTCCTCCAACTGCGCTAAAAAAGGATGTGCTACTATTACTATTAATAATAAAAACTCAAAAATATGTCACTTTGACAAAGGTATTGAACTGAAACAATTTCATGATAATGGTATAATTTATTAAATTAACATGTTCTTTGTCTCATTACAAAGCAATTCTAATTTGTTCAATTATAGGGAGTAAAAATCTTCAGTACATTTGAGGAATGGGGAAAACAGTTTTTTTGTTCTTGTTACCCTCATTTGATGAGTCACACTGTAAGATGACACATTTAGCCAAGCTGCCAACAAAATATTTCAGCCAAAATGAAGAAAACTGATCCAGGCTTCACGCAGCTTAAATGGCC